TGTTCTGACTCCGCCTCCAGAAGTGGCGGCTGAGGAGGGTTTGACGGTGGAGGATGCCAGGAAGTTGTTGAAGGCGGCTCAGGTGGAGGGTGTGAAATTGAGGCTGAGAGAGATGGAGAAAACGTGGATTAGTTATTCGGAGTTTGTTCGGGTGTGCAGTGAGAGTTGTTCGGATCTTGAGAATGGTATTCTGGTAGCAAGGAGTCTTGATGAATCTGGGACTGTTGTTGTCCTTGGAAATCTTGTTTTGCTTAAACCAGAGCAGGTAAAAATATTAACTTTTTTATTGTTTCGTTAGAATTTTAATTAATTTATAATGTTTGGCTCTTTGGTTAATTAAATTTGTTTTACAGATTTAAAAAGGGCAATATTGGTCCTGTGAAGGTTAAATTGAGTACAATTTAACCGATAATTAACAGATAAATACAATTTTTGTTTTGGTATTTTCTTTAATTTGTGGAAAGCTGAAAACTGATATATTCTTTATGCATATTTTTTGTGTTTTCTTTCGGCAGGAAAATGAAACTTTTGTTGTTACACTCCAGATCAAAGGGCCATTCAGTTTCTTCAGTGACAAGATTTGATTCGCACTTGTGGTGCATTTAGATATTCCCAAATGAAAAAAAAAAAAAAAGGATTATCTACTTGAAAAAAAAACTAAAATCAGATAGATAGAAATTGGGAGTGAAAAAAAATAAAAATTGAAGTGGGTATTTTTGTTTTTTTAGTGGGGAATATATATAGAAGAAAAACAGAAAAACAGTGAAAGAGATGCAAGAGTTTTATGAAATTTTGAATATTTTTATTTTAAATTAACTTTTTAAATGTTTTTAAATTATTTTGATGTGTGAATATAAAAAATAAATTTTAAAAAGTAAAATAACTATTATTTTAATATATTTTTAATTAAAAAATATTTTAAAAAATTATCATAATCACAATTCTAAAATATTTTTTTAGTTGGGTGTTAATGGATGGTTTGAGTTAAATTTAGAAGTCTAAAAATGGTGGTGATTGAGTTAAATTTAGAAGGATGGCTTGAGTTAAATTTAGAAGTCTAAAAATAGTGGTGATGTTGGTGGTGGTGGCTGTGGAGGTGGAGGAATTATGATTTTTATACTTGATGATCAGAGCGTATAGTTCATAATAATCTGGACATGAACCTTGGAATCAGTGACATGGTTTCCCAAGGAGGCTTATCAACATGATTTTACCTGGAAAATTTCTTTTGCTGAAAGATGAAAGATATATCTTGACAATGGAGTTCTTTTTGGGTTTTTAATAATAGAAACTGTAGTTATTGAGTTGGTGTGACAGAAAAGTAAAGAAAAGTGATGGAGGATAAGAATTTCTGTTATTTATTTATTTATTTTCCTATTAATTATTTGTTCTGTTTTGATCAACTGATTTTGAAAAAGCCTAGCAAGCATGACCTGGGAAACAGGTCAGCTTGCAAGGCTGTAGCTGACCATGTGTGGACGATGCAAATCACTAACAATGACCCAAGCTATTTTCTGTGTCTTTGTTTTTATACTGATTTTTACGATTTTAAAAAAAATATTGATTTGCTGATTTCTTTCGTGGGAGATTGATTTACTTTCTTTAATCATTAATTTTCTTATTTATTCATAATCTATTTCCTTTAATTAGCTGGTGGTTAATCTACTAACAAAATCAATATGCTTAGTCTCATAGAGTTGTCCTTTACACAAACGATTCTTTTCAATATCTGTTAAACACAGGTATTGAAAGCAATTGGAGGCCTAATTCCATTACCAGCAACCAACCCCAGTGATCCAAGAAGAAGGGAGCTGCAAGAAATGGAGAAACAGAAAGCTGCAATTGATCAGAAGGCCAGGGCTCTGGTTCGCCGGGAACTATGGGGTGGCCTTGTTTTCTTAGTTCTTCAGACCGCTGGATTCATGAGGCTGACATTCTGGGAACTTACATGGGATGTCATGGAGCCCATCTGCTTTTATTTGACGTCAATCTATTTCATGGCTAGCTATGCCTTCTTCCTCAGGACGTCAAAGGAGCCTTCTTTCCAAGGGTTCTATCAGAGCAGGCTTGTAGCCAAGCAGAAGCAGCTCGTGAAACTCTACAATTTTGATGTGAAGAGGTACGGTGAGCTCCAGAAAGTTTGTTGCCCGCATTCATCGTCTCTGGAGCAGATCCAAGCGATCACTTCATTTGATCAAGCTGGGAAAACATGCTAAACCGTTGATGGCAATAGAGAAATTGAATTATACAATTTTGTTGAAGAACCTCTAGGCAGTATTAGGCAGGGAGCTAGTCTCATGGGTGCTTGGTTACCATGGCAAAAGCTTTATAAATTGGCCCCCACCATTACAAAGAATTTAGTAGTTTCTAGTTCAAAAATGACCTTTTTAATCAAAATTTCCCATCTTATCATTCTCACCTCCACTTTTTTTACTCCTTTTTCCATATTAAAAAACAAACAAAAGAAATTGAAGAAAATAAACGTGAGATTTATTAAAAGAATAAGTTTTAATAGATTAAATTTGCAGAGATTCTTAATTTTTTGAATTATTTTAATTTTTTAATATAAAAATAATTTTAAAAAATAAAAAATATTATTTTAATATATTTTTAAACATTACACTAAACACCACTAAAACTTTATTTAGTATCGCATTTCAAATAAAGTTTTATTTAGTATTGTGTTTTAAATAAAGATCAAGTAAAATTTGAAATTTTTTTATTTAAAATTAATTTTTTTATATTTTTAAATCATTTTAATATACTGGTATAAAAAATAATTTTTTAAAATAAAAAATATTATTTTTAATATATTTTTAAATAAAAAATACTTTAAAAATAATTTTTAG